AACCGCGGTGCGCTGCCCCCGCCTGCGCTGACGAACTGCGACCCCGGATTCTACAAGGACATTTAGGGTTCAGGGTGTAGGGTTTGGAGTTTAGGGCTTCGGGACCCTGAAACCCAGAAGTCCTAAAACCCACCCTAAACCCTAAACCCTAAACCCCAAACCCTAAACCCTAAACCCTAAACCTTAAACCCTAAACCCTCAACCCTCAACCCCTCAAATGCCTACGGTTTTTGACGCTTCTCATGGGTTGTAGCATGCCTGGAGCCGCGAAGAAATGCCCCACGAAAGCCTTAAAGCCTCAAACCTCCGACATCGATGCGAGGTAGCCGAGAGGGTCCACAGGTAGTACTCTTATGGAATCAGGGTTTAGGGTTTTTAGGGTTTTTAGGGTTTTTTAGGGTCTTTAGGGTTTTTAGGGTTTTTAGGGTTTTTAGGGTTTTTAGGGTTTTTAGCGTGTTTTCGGGTTTTTTGGGTTTTAGGGAGTTTTTAGGGTTTTGGGTCTGCGGGTCTAGGGTTTAGGGACCACGTAGGGTTTTTGGGTACCCAATTCCATAATCGTACTACATATGGACCCTCTGGGTGGTGTGTTTTTTGGTTGCTAGTATCTCCCCTAAAAAGACATCCCGTGTTTACGCTCACCAATATGTATAAGGAACCCGATGTACACTCATCAATACGATATCAAAGGATTAAACAATTACAAACACGGGACCTTAACATATACCCGTAAGATCCCCTTAAAGTACGGACCCCAATAAGGCACCCTTCATATCGTCAACCCCACAGAACTACTTCGCATGAACGGCCTTCAGCCCTGTGTAAGAAGAGGGCGACTCGCTTGGCTTTCAGTGCATCAACGAGTTCGCCGCTATCATCCTGTACTGCGTTCGTACACTCATTGCGCTCACTCAGTACACTCGTTCCCTTATTCGTTTCTCTCTTCGTAGTTCCAGCCCGGATGATTGGTTAACGGGGGGACAGTACTAACAATAAGGTCTTTTATGCGGTCACGAGGTTGGCTTTTGCATGACAGGGCTTATGGTTGCGTTCACTAAAAGCCTAATAAAATGTACTAAAAAGGTAAATGAAGTGCACGCTTTTTAGTATATTTTATGTGGCTTTTCTCTCTTCTTCTTTCTTCACCTGTAATAATATAATGCACACACACACACAGAGTCTCTGTGCGTGGTTGGTGGTTGATATGACCAGTTCTCTAAATTATGTTCCTGAGGCTTCATATCGTAGGAGGACACCCCCCCGCTCCCCCCCTTCCCCAACCAAAGGGGCCATAGTTTAGAGAAAGGTGTTTGGATGTTGTGTCGGCTGTTAAGCCAGAACCCTAGACCCTAAACCCTAAACCTGCAGGACCCCTTGTCGCGACAGTGCAAGCCGTGCCCCCTAGGCGGGACCCGCATTGCAGAAGTCTTGGGTGGAGAGTTAGTTCATGGTGTAGGGGTGTAGGGGTTTAGGGGTTCAGGGGTTTAGTCTAGGGGTTTAGGGGCTTAGGTGTTTGGGGTTTAGGGGTTTAGGGTAGAAAGGTGTTGCCTGTGCTTTTGATACTTCTGAAGATGTTCGATGCGCGAGTCGGAGGAGACATTCGCGGGCTTCAATGTTTCCTGTTCATCTCCCTTACGCAGGGTTAGGTTCCCTTTAGGGTTTAGGGTTTAGGGTTTAAGGTTTATTTTTTTTTTCAAGTGCAAGGCAAGCGGTGTTTGCCCATCAACCAAAGCAGCATCAGCGAACTTGTCTTGTAGG